AGGAACAGGAGCGGCGGGTGTCTGAATCTTGGTCCTGCAACTTTTTCTTGTTGCAAAAGTTTTTAATAGTTTGTTGGCGCTTTCGCTGATTTGCTGCACAGCAAAGTTTCTTTTTTCCCGCCGGTCTGGGAGTTGGTCCGAAGAAAAGCAGGTCTTAAAGTATGCAATGCATTGCCCACTGCCTGGCCAGGCTAAATTTCAAAGGACTCACTAATGAAGACGGGCTGCTCCTAATACGCAAGTAGTTGGCCTCATGTAGGGCCTGCTTTTACATTTTATTATGCATGATAAATAGTATCCTCTGTGGGTTAAAAGGGTATGCTAAATCCATATATATTAATAAAATTAATAAAATAGTAAAATTTAAAGATTTTTAAGGTTTTTATTTTTATTTACTTAGTGAAGAATGTTACTTCTGTGAATAAAAGAATAACAAGAAAGGAATAAAAATGAAATATAAATTATATGGATATAAAACACCATAGGCCATAAAGTGATTTGTAGGCAATTACCAAAGTGGGTTTGTTTCCATTTTTATTGGTACATAATAATTTGTGGTTTTTGCTCTCTTTGGGCGTGTATAGCTTGGACAAATCCCAATTTAAATGGTATTTCCCGAGTCTAAAAACTGCATCCATAAGTGGCACACTTACTTGTTTTTGTTGGACCGCTTTTCTTTTATCTGCAAGTGGATGCGACGTGTCCGCCATAATTTGGCCGCACTGCTGTGGAAAAGTGGGTCTCGAAGCTCGGAAAAAAGGCGAATATGTGTCAGGCGTGGTCGGAGAAAGGAGATAGCAAGGACTTGTCACATTTAGTAGGCTGCAGCAGGAGCACAAAAGTGGCGACTAAAATAATCAACTAAGCCAAGTGCGACAACTGCGACAAAGTGTGCCGCAGCAAATGAAGAAAGTTCGTGCTCCCTTTCGCCGCCTTTCCCCTTGGCTTTCCCTCTTTCAACCAGCAACATTGCGAAAAACTCGTAGAAAAGTAGTTAAACTTCTGCTTTTTTCGCTGACATAATTCGCGAGAAGTGCGCCCGGCGCCAGTACTGAATGATATATCCAAGTGGTAGTAATAAATTCCTTCAGTCATGCCACAAAGTATGCCATAGTTGCTAAAGTCCTTTTATATATGAATGTGCTTCGAAGCTACATATATCTTCATATGGGTAAGTGGAAATCAGATGCAATAAGCTCATAATTTGTAAGACAAGTTGCATTGCGGATTGTGGGTGTATTTAAAGTGTCAACGAGTTGTATCTAGAATGTAATAATTTTAAAAGATTTTTACTACTTTTAAAGTACAACAAAGTTATCTTCTTCTTTAAGGTCCATTTCACATAAAATAAGCACAATAACAATTATGTATTCAATTAAATTCTCTAGCCTTAAAAACATATATATTGCAACATTAATTAACAATATCAAAGGGATTAATATTATTGAGGTCGAATTTAAATTGCAGGAAAAACTTAAGCCAGATTTACTTTTACAATTTATTTTTATGTTAAAGGAAATAACAAAAAAGCAATTAGCAATAACCAATTTTAAATAAGGCCAGTTTGGCAAAACTCAAAGGCTTTATATTTAAGCCTTCAGAAAAAAAGGAATATTAAATTTAAGAAAAAATTATATTCAAGCTGTGACACAAAGAGTATTTTTTCATTGCAAATAAAATGAAAATAAAATGAAAAAAACTAGTAAACGATTGAAAAAATGCGTATGCATTTTAATTTATAATTCATTTCACTTTTGGCGTTCGCTTTTGACCTTCATCCAACATTGTGGGCTCGTTTAAAGCCGCAAAATTGCCATTGCAGTCGGGACCACGCCCCCTGTCCCCAAGTGGGCGTCAATAGGGTAGAAGGGGGATGGGCTGAGGGGCAAACAAATAGCAACAACGTCTGGTTATGGCCAAGTTCAAGCCAAATGTCTGGCGGCGTCTGGGGCACGTGCTGCCCAGATTCATCTCCGTCAGCAGAGAAGCCTCAACATCAGATTCAGATCCAGATTCGGCTCCATCTCCGCCATTTCTCTCCATTTAAATCGAGCCAAGGGGTAGGGGCAGGGGCAGGGGCAGGGGTAGAGAAGGGGGCACAGGGTTGGAAAAAATTGTGAAAAATTTGTAACCGAGGCGTTTTGTTTGCTCTCGTTTGCTTTGGTCACGGATACCAGACTGCCAGTCAAGTCAAGTAAACATGATGTGCGGGGTCTAATTTTTTCCCCTTTTTTTTTTGTATTTTTTGTTGCCCAGCCAGTCAACCCAACTTCAGCCGGGGGTTCCCCTTTGCCGTCGGTGTCTGTGAGCTATATGGTTGCACAATATTTTACATTTTCATGCATGACGCGTTTAATCACGTGATGCATATGATTTTTAGCCAGCCCAGGGGTTAGGGATCGGGGTTCTAGGGGCTGCGGAGGAGTTTGGGGGCTTTCCTCATATATTCATGCATACAATTCCATCAGCATGAATTATGTTTTGCATACTTTCAGCCTGAGTTTGTGTGGGCTTTGCTTGTTTTGCGTTTAGGTCTTTGGCGCTGTCTGGCGCATTCTTGCAGCCCTTGGTGCCCTCGGCAGTCGCCTTTCATCTCGTTCCCTGGGAGATCCTACTCGGCACGGGCCTTCTGGATTTGGATTTTTCCACACTTTTCGGGGGTGTGGGTCCACTCAAAAGTTGTGGATTAGAGCGTGTAATTTTACTAAAAAGCGCCAACGAGCCGCACTTCACACACATGCCTACAGTTGTGGGCAGAATGGTATCAGTCTTTAATAAGTAATAATAAAGCATATCTCATAGTTTTTTACTAATGCCTACAAAATATATTTATGTTTTTCGGACAAACTTAACCAGTTAAACGCATTTAAAGTTAGAAAAGAAAATCTAATAAAATATAAAATCCCATTATTTTAACCTCAGGTGTATTTGTGGAAAGGGTGATCCCTCGTGAGCGGTTGTTGCCATATTTTAAGTGTTTTCTGGTTTTTCGGCCACTGTGCACTGCGCTTTTAATTTCACTCGCAGGGCTCGCCTGTAATTTATGTGCTTAACTTTCACACTCGGCTGGCTAAAACAGTCACCGAAAAATCGTCATAAAAATAGAAAATATATGTAGGAACACTCGCACTCGGCCATTTCACACTTTTGCGCCTTTGAACGAAAAGCGGTGGAAAATGAAAGCGAACCCACAAGGACAACAGCCAAAAGTGGTGGAGACCGAATATATTCCAGTGAATATTTATGAGCAACAAAAGTAGCATTTGTGCTTTACATTCCGACTTTATTGTGGGCATGGTTGTTGTAGTCAGTACTAGTTGTTGTTGCTTCTGTGAGCAACAGTCCCGGCCATCGTCAAAATTCTGGCTGCCTTTTGCGGCTGATAAACCACTTACAAAATTTTGGTATTCATTTGTTCAAATCATAAAAGCATTTTCTAATATATAAGAAATTATAGGTAAATTTCACAAGATGTGCAAATTACTTCTTGGTGTTCCAGAAAGTTGTTTTTAGAAAATATAATATATAATATAATACATCTTAACTCGCTAAGAATTTAAGTACTTTAGTGCCCCATTTTTTAAAGACAAGACAAAACAATTCTAAAGATGTATGAAAAGGCAATGATTGTTTTAGTTTTTGGCATATAATAGTAAAACTTTCTTTGCAATAACCAATAAAATTGTCTTGATAATGCCTATTTGACTCTGATATCATTATATAATTATGTTTTTCACTGTGTGATGTGGATGCTGCTCTTGTTGCTGATGTCGTCCTCATTGCTGTCAGCATTTCCGACGCTGATGAGTTTATGCTTGGGGCCCATATTACTTTATTCCAGAGTGTGCCTAGCCCCTGGCCACGCCCCCCGCCCCTGTGGTTTTTCCCCGCCAACACAGACACATCTACACACACACACACACACAAACTCCACGGAGTCGGCCATTCATGACTGTCATGAGTTTTCCGCAATTGATGGTCTAATTATGCCGCCAACACTAAATTTCATGACTTTGCTGGTCGAGCCAACACGCAGACGAAGGCCACTGATGACGAGGGGGTTTCTGGATGGGTGGGGGGATTGTAATTTAATGGAAAAACATTTTGCCACACATCCACAGGGAGCGGAAAAATGGAAGCTGAAGCTAAGGGCCACTTTACAGTTTGACAGCCATTGCTAGCCGGTTGAAATTTTAGCTGGGATTTATCGCCCATCTCTATGAAAATATGTTAATGCAACAGTTTGAGATGCCTGCCTTTATGGGTTTGAGTTTAAGAGCTCTTTCCGTTGAGGGTACAACATCATCTAAATTATGGAGGCATTAACATAACTAAAAGGAAGCTTATTACTTAATAAATATTTCTTCCAAGCGTTGTACAAGAAGATTATAAATGTATATATACAACTATTGAAAGGAGTGAGTAAAATAAAATTTATGCAAAATTAAAATCGTATAATTTTTAAATTTATGTGCTATAAATTTTGGATTTATATTTGCATAACACACATTTAATCATTTTACATAACGAAGAATATGAGTGAAATCCTTTTAGTCCAAATACTTACAACTGTGCGTTTGTGCTATAAATTTACTTATTAGTCATAAACAATTTATAATTATTATTAGCTTTAACCAATTGACTTATCACTTTTTTTTTTAGTAACCTAATTGAGATTCACTCACTCGAGAATCGCTGCCGGGCCTTCATTTGGATCTGTTAAGCTGAAATGGTAATTATCATACCGAAACCAATGGGGCATATCAAAATGTTCACACTTCATAATATTTGCATATTAATGTGCATGTATAATTAGCTCGAAAATAATTAATGCCCGAAAACAAGAAACCTAATCGAATGCCAAGGCAAAGCCAGCTTCTCCTAATGAGAATCCATGGCTTCGGAGAATATTTGATGTGTGAAGTTATTTAGTCAGGCTTTAGTTCTTGGTGAGAGTTTCGAGTGGAAGGTCTAACTCTATCTCTAATAAGCCTTTAAATATGTATCCAAATTGGCTCGTTCTGCTCCACTTGTCGCTGGTTTGTTTGGGAGTTGCTTCGCAAATGTTTGCACAGCCGCTGACAAAGTAGGTCGTGTGGGTGGATGGATGGGTTGTTGGGTGGCTAAGTGGTGGCAGAAAGTGGGCGGTGGTTAGCGGGTCAATCTATTGAGCAAACTATTTGTTTACAGGAAGCACAACACCGGTATTTTGAGCATCGAACGGTCGGCGGGACAGAAGATTGAGGAAGCCGCGCTGCTGCAGCAACTGCAACAAATCACGGGCAGCGAAGCGTTGGCGCCATTGTTGCAGGAGTTAATAGGCCAAACTGTGCCAAATTGGCAGGCACAGCAGAAGCAACAACAGCAGCAGCAACAACAGCAACAGCAGCAACAACCAAAACAGCAGCAACAACAGCAGCAACAACGGCAGCAACAACAGCAGCAACAGCAGCAACAACAGCAGCAATACCAGCAGCAACACCAACCAAAACAGCAGCAACAACAGGCCACAAATCAACCGCAACAACAGGAACAAGACTTTTTTGTTTATGAAAACGGAGCGGGTCAACAACCTCAAATATTGACCGGGTTCAATGGCGTCAATGTGCAACCTGAACAACGCCAGCAGCAACTGCGCCTCCTGCCAAAGCCAATTGAGACCGAACAACAATATCCAGCAGCCGGGCCAAAAATCGTTAAGGCGCCGCCAGCCGCAGCAGCCGTTTGGGCGCCGGATCTCAAGAGCCACCCGCCGTAAGTAAACACTGAAAACTACCAACTATATAATCCTTTATTTGCATTAAACAATGCATTTTAATTAGCCCATCCCCGGCAACTGCAGCGCCAGCAAGTTGCCAAGTCTGCTGCAATCCGTCGGAAGTTGCCGCTGCCGCTGCCGCTGCCACTGCCACACCCACTGCCACGCCCTGTCCGCCCACTTTGGGCGGCCAAGAGTTGGTCCCGCTGCTCAGTGCCACGGCGCTCAAGGCGACAGCTGGTTAAGTTTTTAATTAAATCGCTGGCATAATTAATAAAGATGCGCATAGTGAGTCGGGCAAAGTGTTGCATACTTTTTGGGCTGGCCGATCGTGTGGGAGTATTGGTGGGAGTGCACACATATGCCTTCGATATTCATCTACATGACAGCAGCAGATGGGGCAGGTTTATTTTAAAATGAGGGAAACGACTTTAGATACTCTCGAAATATGGAGGTTATTCTCACTGAAAAAGTTAGTTCAATCAAATATGTACAAATCATGTCCTTTCAAGGGATACATTCGAAAAATGGCTTACTCTTAATATTATACCTTTTGATACTTTTGATGAACCGTTTAAAACATACTAATATTCTAGATTCCATTTGCGACTTCACTTATTATACATATTACACCTTAAAGAAAATAATAGAAAATCTTAAACAATTCCTAAAAAATTTAGATAGATTTTGATGCGCATATTGCTCACACAGTTTCTATACTTCCAATAGTTAAGAGTCTAAGGCTATTTAACTTAACTGTGACTTATATTTCAGTTGGCTTTTCCCGATTTCCGCACTCTATCTCCATATAATCCCAAAGGAATCGCCTTACTCGATTTAGTTGTCACCCTGTGCAGCCCGGCAACTTTCCGAACAATATGTGACTTATCTGTCATCGTGGCTTCACCCGACAGTGGTGCACACTGAACCTGAGCCACCCAGGTCCTCCATCCACCAGGATCTGTTCGAGCTGTCACAGGACTCAACATAAAAGTAAAACATGCAACTAAAAACAATTTCTAAAAATATACGTACGAGCATAAAACATGCAACACGAAAAAACCGCACAAAACACTTCATGTTGAGTGCGACTCGCAAATTGTGGGGCGTCTGTGTGAGTGAGCTGCACCACCAACACCACCGGCACCACCGCAGAAAAGAAGCAAAATAATAAATAAAAATCCACAAAATGTGTGTGTTATGTGCTGTGTGTGGCGGAGCGTTGAGTCTGCGGCGGAGTGTTTTTTGCAAGTGTTCGAGCGGGAAAATGAAAGTGCTGAAGTGTCGCCCATTGTTTGTTGTTTGTCCTGTCAACGAAGCAGCTGCCTGCATTTGCATTGGCCGCGAGGAGTTGATGACCGGGATGCCCGGCGAATGGTTGAAAGATCTGGTCTGTAATCGGAAAATTCCTTAGGCTTCTTCAACATTTCCCAAAGAAATTTCAGTCCCATGAAAGAACTTCTTAAGGCTTGCCAACTATTTAAACAGAACTACCAAGCATTGCATTCTAAATGGAACTCAAATACTAGACTTTTTTTGGACACTTATAACAAATATATCATTTATTTTTAAGTTAATTAATTAGTAGTAGTAAGAAATTAGTGTATTTCTAAAGATCATTAAAAACTGTGAACAAATTGGTGCAACTTAAATGACAGTTAATTTAACCTTCTGGATTCTATTAACTTCTAATTTATATAAATTATAAACAAACTTCCTTAAAAACTTTAATGCAATTTTGATAATCAAATAAGAACTATAAATCAATAAAATAGATAAATATGAATGCCTTCTATAGGTACTACAAAATAACCCTCAGCAAGCCTTCCACTAGAAGTCAAAAAACTAATTTTGAGCAAGTATAAAAATGTGTATCTTCAAAATTTGAGTTCAATACCAGATAGCTGTAGGTTTTGACAATAAGACTGAAATTGGATTGGATGTGACTGAGGCCCCGACCCCTTGACGTCCTGCAGATGTGAGTAGAGGGGCGTGGGTGGGGGTGGCTCCTTTGTTGTCATCGGCACTTCAGTAGTCATTTTATAGGGCCCCATTCGACGGCTCTAATTTCATGCACGCATAATCAGCGAGCGTGGCTAATTAAATTCTAAACATTCGCCAGCATCAGCGCACTAAAAAATGTTTTATATGGCTAGAGTTTAGAACCCATCCTTTGTTTTCCCTACCCCTACAGTGAACTCCCATCCCAAGCTCCATTCCAATCTCGAGCTGGTGCTTTGTAATTGCAGATCCCGGACTTCGTACACGCCCCTATGCAAATGGCACAAAGCTGCTGCCCCTGTTGTTGCTGTCACTCCACTTAGAAAATTAATTTGCTTGATTGTTTTGGTTTTTTATTTATCTAAGACATTTTATATTATAAGCACAAATATTTTGATTGTAAGTCGGGTAGTAGAGAATGCTTGCTTGCATTTGAAAATTAACTTCAAATCTATTACGTTATAGGATTTAGGATAGACTTAAAAGAAAACTAAATTTATTTGATAGGTAAAAAATTAACCAATATTATTATCGTCCTAAAAAATAGTTACTTAGAATAAAAAAAAAATAGAATAAATAATAATTGTATCCCTTACCCAGTTAATTGGAATGCCGTTTACATATATATGTTTTGAGCATCAACCAATGTTTAATTTTAATTAAATTTAGAAAAAAATGTTTTATTTAGTTAAGAGGCGTGAAATTACATACAAATTTCTTTCTATGTTCGTGGATTTTTTCCAATGATCAGAAAATCTGAACTCGTTGCTTTGGGGTTGCTTAGTTTAATGAGAACAGTGGACCCTTTTTTTTTTGAGTGTCTTGATGTTCCTTCTGCTGCTTCGTGTTGTTCTCTTTGTGCCCATCTGCAACCTCATCTCATCTCGCGCTGACGGCTTTTGAACTGCCTTCGTTTGTTGTCGTTGTCGTACTCTAAATTAACCGTTTCGTTACGTCAGCGCTGTCTTTTGTGCGTTGACAGAAGCGATTGTTGTTGCTGCCGAGTGAGTCCTGGCGTCCCAGTACCCCGGCATCCCGACGTCCCGGAGTCCTCGAGTCGTCCTGTTTAGTTGCAAGTTTGTATGAGGCAGCCGTGCGTGCCCGGGCGCCTGGCAATTGGAGCAATCAGCCAGCTCAACTCAGCCCGGCTCTTCAGCTTTTTGGCCCGTTTGCAGCTCCAGAGACGGGACAACCAATCCCAATCCCAAACCCAAGCCCGAACCCCCAGCACTCAGTCGCACTCAACTGGCGGAGCAGTTCGGAGACAGTTGGCTTTGTCTTGTCAGCTGGGTCCTGGCACTGTCCTGATTGGCATTTACAATTAGCGAGTGGGTAAATAGAGAGATGCTGCGAGAATGCTCCAAGTCCTGGTGCCAAAATAAACTGAAACCCTTTTCGGGGATCGTGGCAGCAAACACCCTTGTGGATAAATGTTAATCCTTTATTGTAGAACACACTAGGTTTAAGAAACCTTGTCCTTCCTAAGGTATAAGGGAAGGTATAACAATGAATTATTACCTAAATTTATTAATTATGGGGATCAGTTGTTTAGTTGTGAGAAACAAAACCAGAAATTAAGTAAACAAAGTAATTGAATATAGGACTACAATATAAATAGTGTAAATATTCTTGGTATTATAATTAAACTGCCCAATTTAACTGAATCCTAAGGGTACCAAAGTCGTCAACTAAAAATCCTAAAAGTATGCAAGCAAAAGCGCTCACACACACACACATGTAGGCGAAGCTGTGTGGGTGTGCGTGTTTGTGTGGCAATGGAATAATGTACTCTTAATTTGTTATGCGTGTGTGATTAATGATCCATGCATAACGATAACTTTGACTCATTACACCTGCTGATTTATCGCTGTCAACGGGTGGTCCACAATGTCACCCGACTTCCCCTGCTCCCCCTCCTCCCCCCACATTCAACCACGCCCCCGCCGCCCACCATAACGCACACAAGTGCACACAGCCATTACAGGCACATGGAAATGAATTTTGAATTTTGATTCGGCCACTTTCGCTTAATCATTTCGCAATTAGCCGGCATTGTTAGGGCATTTGCATTGATTTATTGACGTTGTCGCAAAGATTGCGCTCTGTTCGTTTTTCCCTATTGACATTTTTAATTTTCCCATTTTCCATGTCAGTTAATTTTCCACTACAGCTCGCCAGCATGGAAAATTGACAATTAATTAAGCTCTACTGCTGCACTGACTTTTTCGCTTTTCCCGTTTTCTTTATTCCCCCGTTGTTTTTCCTGCATTTTTTGGTCTTTGGAAAGTGTGAAGACTCAGTCGCATCGATGGAAATGCAAGTAATTAATGGGCGTGGCAGCACTTGTCCCGCCTGCGCTAATGACCCATATTATGAGGTTATTACTGCCGTCCACTTGTCTGCGTGTCTGCGAGTCTGCAACTCTGAGTTTTCGCGATTGCAAGTGCATTTGTGATGACATCTCGAATGTGTTAAGTAATTGCAAAGAGCTTCGATGAGTCGTCGAAAGCAAAGACTGCGGGAAGGGAAACACTCGTCTGCGGAGTCTGATGAACTGCAGTTAATTGAAGTCTATTTGGGTTGATGGATGGTCGGCTGGTCGGGTCACTCTGAATAAGCAACGAGTGTGTGCCCGGGGGAGTGGGTCTTAATTAGGGTATTGGGTAGACAAACGACCGGCCTCCGCTGACAAAAGCCAGATTACGCGGGTTAGACGGAGTTGGGCAAGATCGGGCCGAGAGATTGGTTTCCAGTTAGGCTGAAATTTTAATGAGGCAGTATTAAATCAAAGTCTTAAAATACATTACAAACATAAACATCCAATATTGTTATTGGTATGAAAATGTGCCAACAAATTGATCAAAGTTAGGATGACAAATATTACAAATTTGATCAACTTTTAAATGAAAATGTTGAATGCAGATTTTTAGAGAATCAAACCACGAGTCGTTAGAGGTATGCCACTTTGAAATCGGATTAAATTTAGTAAAGTTATAAACTCTGGAAGGGCAATTGTCAATTTCAAGTCATCGGAAACTTAGAAAAAACTAACATGAAAAAGGGTCAAAATTTTGATCAACGTTAAAAAGAAAATTTGGAATGCAGATTTTTAGAGAATCAAACCACGAGTCGTTAGAGGTATGCCACTTTGAAATCGGATTAAATTTAGTAAAGTTATAGACTCTGGAAGGACAATTGTGGGTTTCTTATCGGAAACTTAGAAAAAACTGACATGAAAATGGGTCAAAAATTTGATCAACGTTAAAATGAAAATTTTGAATGCAGATTTTTAGAGAATCAAACCACGAGTCGTTAGAGGTATGCCACTTTGAAATCGGATTAAATTTGGTAAAGTTATAGAATCTGGAAGGGCAATTGTGGGTTTCTTATCGGAAACTTAGAAAAAACTGACATGAAAATGGGTCAAAAATTTGATCAACGTTAAAATCAAAATTTTGAATGCAGATTTTTAGAGAATCAAACCACGAGTCGTTAGAGGTATGCCACTTTGAAATCGGATTAAATTTGGTAAAGTTATAGAATCCGATTGTGGGTCACTGCGTTGCAAACTTTTGACTTAAATCATAAAGGGTATAAAAATCTTTGAAGAATTTCAATTTCTCACCAATTTCTCCATTTATTTTGAGAGATTTTCATTGCTATGGTGATTGAAAAGACTATTAATTTATGTAGTTATAAAATCACCCTTGTTGGTCTTCCCCCAGATTGAATTAAAATGCCTCGATTTGAGGTGACCCTACGCCAAGGAGCAGCCTTTGTGGCGCTGTACGTGTTGATGTTGGCCGCTCTGGTCCGTCCGCAGATGAACTTCAACATCTTCGTGGACTCGTTCTTCCTGGGGGTCAAGTACTCGGCGGTGATGGTTTTGGGCTACCGCTTCGATACCTATATGGCAGTGGCCGCCGCTCCACTCAGTGCCGCCACTGTGTTTGCCCTTTCCAAGTGGAACGAGCAACGCGATAGCCGCCCCTCCCAGAACCTGATCATCATGGGCGTGACCTCCCTTTATGTCCTGGTCCTGGTGGCCAATATCCTGGCCAATGGAGTGGTGATCCAGCAGGCCCTCATCCGCTTCGACCAGTGTCCGTATAGGGCGTGGTACATGTACGGCCAGATGGCGATGTCCTTCGTAAAGTCAATGGTGGCGGACGTTCAGGAAGTGATCACCCGGCAGCACCATCGTCGTCCTCGGCTGATTTATCGTATGCACTAGCAAGGTACTATTTGTAAATACCCAAATCGAATTGGTTCATTTACTGGGCATTATCTAAAAAATATATTATAATTCGTTTTTAGCTTAACTGGTATTTTTTATATATTTCCAATACAATTAGATTACATTTGGAGCATGAGTGACATATGTATATCTTTATGTCAAACTTTAAAATTTGAGCTTTCATTTGCAGTATAATTGTTGTCAATTAATTTTGTTTTTTGCAGACACATCATTGTGAGTATCTATTCAAACCACACTTTATGTATCAAAATGTTTATTTTGATATTCAATTGGTCTTTCCATTACCTAGTTTAAAGCAAAAAACATTCAAAACAGAACATTCGAACACATTTCCAAAATTAAATGCATTTAAACAATAGAAAGTTACATTTTCCAAATCAATATGCAATATTCAATTAAATCTTATCCTTGTTTATATTTGGAATTCCAAGGCATCATAATTTCATCAAGGTAAGTACGAGTAAATTATTGCGAGAGGTGATTTATCGGCCAGAGTGACTTTATCTGGACATTAACAGGAAAACAATGAACCCGAAGCTCAAGTCTGTCTGAGGTTTCCATTTGACCAGCGACCATATGCCGGTGATTGGATTGTGGGTGGTGGACATTGGGCGGTGGGTGGGTTGGATTGTGGGTGGCTGGTAGGTGGGTCGATGGCAAATGATGTGCACAGTTTGTTGTGGTCGAATGGCATATTAGATTTAATGCGATTTGCATTCGCCGCTGCCTGCATCGATAATGATGCGATGCCCCGGGCGACACTTGGCTGTTTGGTTTGGTTTGGTTTGCAAGTTGGGATTGGGAGTGGCATGGAGTTTGGGCTGCTGAGGCGGGCAGCGTTTGTCTAGGAAACCGCAGGGTCGGCGGGGTATCCTTCGATTTTGTGGGGGAGGGGGAGGGGTGGGGCGTGTCTGGCGAGTAAGTAATTTTGTGGTTGTATTCCGGAGCACGTTGCTTTGAGGCTTCCAATTCTATCGGCGTTGCGGCGTGGGCCTTTGGCAAATAGTTAAGCGCAAACACAAGTCCCCCCTTCCTCCTCCACTCCATTTCCAAAGGCCCATGGGTGGAATCCTGCCTCGGATAATTGAAATTTTATGCCCGGCTTAAGCAGAAGTATAAAGTTCAGACTCTGACGCAAATTCCCAACAAAATGTTTTACATATATTGGCGCAAAAAAATACATTGTTTTCTCTGCTGCTCGAAAACATGTCTTTGATCTCCAAAACATGTGCACAAAAATGACAAAACAAAAAAAATACAAAAATTAAAAACGGGCCAATTTACACACAAAAGGAAGAACGAAAAGTTTTGTGCATATTCACATATGCAAAATGCGAATTGCAAACAAATTAAACGAAACAAAATGTAAGTGCTTAAAACAAAGCTAAATGAGTTCTGACTTGGCTGGAGGCATTAAATATTTCCCCAAAAAAATGCGAGAAATGCTGAAATGCTGGAAGCCAGAGGCGACGGGTTTCCCCGAGACACTAAAACTTATTTATGCCTTCGTTTTGATCGAGGGGGTGGCCTGCTGTCTCTCTCTGATCCCCCTCTTCCCTCTCTTTCTGCACTCACGAGCGTGTGCGGCTGACATTCCAACTAAATATAAAACATTGGAACATGCTAATTTATTTTTGAACTGCGGGAAATAACATCGATGTTGTCGGCCAACAACTTCCCATCAAAAAATCTGTAAATAAACTGTGGTTAAACCCAACTGGCCATTTCAGCTAAGCCTAAGAAATGTGGAACGATTCGTCTTGGATTTTGGATGACAAGCCATAATTTTTGAAGAGATTTGATTAAGTTTTGGCGTCTTAGATTTCCCCAGTAGTCAAAAGACGTAATTTCACCATGGCTATAAAATAAACAAGAATTCAAGGGGTAAAATTATCTGCTTAGATATATTAATTTGTTTTTTGTTTTGTTTTCGTATAAGAATTAAGCACTTAAAATTGTAAGTAAAATAATGACTTAATGTTAAAAAATTAACATTAATTAGATGAATTATATGATAATATAATATATAGCTAAACCATTCATAATATTTATTTACTGCATTAGTACTGCAGTATTTGTAAAGCAATAAGTGCTTGTCCAAAGTTCATTTCAAATCGTTTAATCTTTGCTTTTCATTCAATTATTTAATTGTAAAATGTAAATAATGGGTATCAATTAAACGAGCTTCTGTTTGAGATGTCCAAGCCTGGTTTAGATTTTCCTAACTCTTATCTTAAGTGATCGTAAAAAACCGCCAATTAAAAGAGCGCACTTTGCGTTCTAATTTCTTTTTGTTTTATTTGCGGGCTCAGAAGATCTACCTGTTTGCATGGGATTAAGATATCATCTCGGAACTGAGGTTCAGCTTTCAAAAGGCACTGCCTGGGATTTTCCCAATGGAATGGATGTGGCGAGAAGTTATTGAACTGTCGCAGGATTATCAGTGCTTTCAGTGAGAGCAGGGTGACAGAAATTGAAATGTCATATCAATGGGAGGCAATAAAAGGCAGTGATTGATGTGCCAATTTGTAATTTGCCAATTAACATATCCCCTCTCCTCCCCGACTCAATTACTTAAAACCCATACAAACACGCAAGTTCAGTGGTACAAAGCGAGTGCAATTAATATTTTTATTACGTATAATTTGTATTAATTGCCGCGCTCGTTCCATGAATCATCTTATCAAATGTGTGTCAACGCGAGCGCCTCATAGTCCAGCATCCCGTCCAGATTTGCATTTGCATTTCTTTTGACGCCACAAACCCGCCAAACCGCTGGATCTCCGGCTTCCCTCAGGTGTTCCTGACCTGTGCTCCTCGACTCGCCGTGTGTCACTCACTCCGCGAACCTCGGCTTTGGCCTCAGCATCAGCATCATCATCAGCATCACCATCAGATTCGACTTCATCTCCACTCGGTTGGAAATCAAAGTTTCGAAACCGGATTTGCATGCCAATAAAGACGAGGCTGGCAAACAAAACAAAACAAATCAAATCAAACGAAATGAAATTCTTTCGGCTTTCGCCTGGCTTTTGCTTTAAATACAAAATCGCACGGCTCAGAACATTAGACTGGTTTAAGAGCTCGAATTAAGCGCATTGACGGGGAATAAAGTCAGACGTCAGCCGAAAACACATAAAGATCCTCCAGCAAGTGTGAACAGCCAGCAAAGTGCTAAAATTAAATTCAAGTTAATTATATAAAATCATTATCGGTGCTAGTACACGAATATTACCAATGGCTTGCACATACAATACAAAAATGGTAAGCATCTAGAGTAAATAGATAGATCACTTTTTAAACGTTAGTGGATTACAAATAGTTTTTCATACAACTAGTCTGATTCAAGAAATATGTCTTATGTTGATCCCTCATCTTGTATTAAATTTGTAATTATGAAAGTAAATTGTGACCCTTAAAAAAATAGTATATTTTTAGCAAATGTTGTGGCTCCATTTAATAGGATTTAAATTTGACTAACAGAATGTTAATACACCAAATTTTTTTAAGAGCTATAACTTAGATAACTTAGATAAATTTAATAATTCATTGTGTACCCTATCTACAAATATTTGTCTTTAAATTAACTAATAATTTTCTTTTCCTTAACTTTTAATAAAGATCCTGCTCAGCTGCAGTTTGGCTGTGGTTTTGAGTGTCACGGAAGCCCTTCCTCGGTTCAGTCGCACCAAGGACCTGGGAACCGCCGCCAGCTCCTCCAGTTTCGCCTATGCCCCCAGTCCCCAGGAACCGATGACCCTGACCGGAAACTACAACCTGATCATGCCCGACTACTATGATCACCATCCAGCCGAGTCGATGGCACTGCAGAACTTTGCCAACTTCTACGATGCCCAGTCCGAATCCGAGTCCGATCTTGGAATGGAGGAGTCCCAGTTCCTGGCCAACACTCCAGTGAGGGCTCCCCAGCCCCTGACTCCCCAGGAGCATCGTGCCCGCCAGCAAGTGCCCCATGTGGACATCAACCGGGAAAGGAAGGCCCTCCTGAAGCTGAAGAAGGGCAGCACCCAGCCCAAGGGATCGGGTCACCAGGAGTGGGACCAGTTCGACTACGACCTGTACAGCCTCAATCCGGGCAACAGCAAGAAGTACAACTACGACATCTAGATGGCATTCCCCTCTAGCTCGACTGTATATGTTTATGTTTTTGTTTTCTCTTGGTTTAAGCTCACAAATAAATTATTTATTTATTGTTAACTGCACTCAGATTTTCGTCATTTCGATTGGAATGCTGTTCGAGCCACTTTTTTGCTGATGCCATCTAATTTTATCTAATTGGTCAGAAACCATTAACATTCACTTTATCGCCGAAAGCAGGCCAGTCAAAACAGTGACGATGCGACTCTGAATATTTAAAGTTTACGGTTCTAAAATAAGTAATTCAATAAATTAAACCCATATAAATATCTTGTAAAAAAAACGGATAAGTATTTTAAAATTTAAATTTTAGCTAACAAATAATGTTAATTTGTGACACATCGAAAACAAACATTTATCTTTCCTAAAAAGGAGTCAAAGTTATTATTGGAATGAATCAGTTAAGAAATTTGTTATCTTGATTCTAATTATACATTTTTAGTCACTTTTGGTTCACCAAAATTCAATATAAAATTGTGAAGGTGGTCGGCCATGAATAACACTTTTAACGAAACCTAATTTGGAGAAAAGTCACTTCATGGTTTAACTTACTTTACCAAACTTAGTTATTCTCAAGAGCTTGTAGCTATACTTTTCGGTAGATTCGTAAATTTTCCCTCTCGAAATAAATGAAGGTAGCTTTTTAAAGAACATTACACTTTATTGCTGATCCAACAGGATCCGCTTGAGTTCCTTGATCCTCTGCAGCGAGGGCTCAAAGAACGAGCTGTCCACCTGGACTTCCTGGTGGTTGTAAATACGACGCAGTTGGGGGCGATTGGCATGGTAGGTGGCCAGAGCAGCGGCGTAATCCACCTCATCCGGGTCTCCACAATTTTGGTAGGAAAACTCTGGGTAGCCACGTGGCCTCACACGGTGTTTCCTGGGAAGAGTGTCCCTTTGGATTTCGTCCAGCTGCTCACCCAAAGGTTGAACATACGTATAACCATGATCTGCGCCGGCCAGCACCAATCTCAATGTCACTCCCAGCATCATCATCTAACGGAGGGTTAAGCATTTGACGTCATCAGCTTGCAAACAAGTTATGCTGTATTCCGAAATCTGATCAGTGATTACCACAAAAGTTAGCAGCAAACTCGTCTTCATGGTTCTGCGATTCCAATTCCGATTCCGATTCTTAATATGTCTCGTCGCTTCGGGCACCGAAAACTGACTAAATTGGCGAATCTGGTTGCCATCTGCCAATGCCCTTAGAACCTATTATGCAATTATGCTCACGGCTTTGACATTATCTAAGCGGTGAAGAGAACATTGAGAGAAACCAGTTTTTACCCCTTGTTATTGTGCCAAATATTTAAATTATTCGCGATTTTTTTGTAACATCTGCCGGGTGCGAAGCGCGAAATTGAAGATGTCATTCAACCGATTTTATTTCATTTTTAGCTTCTGTTTAAAACTTATATATATTGAGGAAAAAGAAATCAGAAAAAAACAAGGAAATGCAAAACGAAAACAAAATTGTAGAAAGGACATTATTTCCAAAGTTTATATATGTATATAGTTTCCAAATTATTAAAACAAAACATACATTTATGATAAATAATGATTATTATGATTACTAATATGATTTAGAATTGGATGGAAAGCTTATCTACCACTGGGGGTATGAATGAACTCACATCATAAGGAAATTTTTTTATTTTTAATGACGTATGAACTTTTTCGAGATTTCCTCAAAAAGTTTAAGGATTCCCCCAGTTCTTCTTTGCGTCTATGTATTTGCACACATGAAGTTTCTTTAAAATATATTTGTGCTTTTCAACTATTAGAATTTTGAACTTTAAATAGATATTCCCCAAAATGCAATCATTCATTGAGCATTGGTTGACATGACTCAGTTAGCAAGGCTAACGCATTTTTATGTTTATTTCTGTACATAAAAACAAAAAGATAGCCCTAAATAAACAATTCCTTAAATGAATTCAAGAAATGTAAAGTCTTTAATATGGATTTTTAGACATTCATGTCGAAAAGATTAGGAAATATTTTATTTTATGAAGCTTTCTTGTATTGATTCATCTGCTCTGAAACTGATTTATAACCATAACATATTTACATTTTGCTTGGCGTGTGCTTGCCCTATTTGCATATGGGCATAAAAATGTTTCACCAATCGACCCCATTATTTCTCAGTGTGCATTTGATGCTGGCTAACTAGCATTTGATTGCTGGTCCATACGCAATCCCACAATGAAATATCACCATCAAGCTGATTAAGCAACAGTTAACAGGTTCAGTGATTAACATATTTGCTGAATCGCTTGCGTTTCCCACACATGCCTACTTTTGGGCTTGTTAAATTAATCACCCGAGTCGATTAAGATTGTGTGTTTTAAAATTTAAACTTCGATCGATTTATTTACAACAATCAACGAACAGACAACTAACTAATAACAACTAATAAATTCGATGTGAAATTCGGAGAGTGTTTAGAGAGAGAGGGGATTTAGTTGTAAGGATATCTGGAGAGGACCTGCTCCTGGCGCTCGTTGGCACGTCGATTCTTTGGTCGCAGCTGTCCCTGAGCATTCACAGCGGCACCCACTGGCACATAGATCACCGGGCTCTTGAAACAGCCCTCCACACGTGGCTGGGTGGAGGCCCTCGCCGTCTGCAGCACCTTCTTGTGGCTGTCGTCCACCTCGCCGGGACTCAGCTCCTTCTGCTGACACTGGCCACCACCTGGACAGCTGGTCACGAACCTCTGGTACTCCCTGGTGTCGCCCGGCACGGTCTGCTTGTAGTCGAAGCCATCCAGGCTGGAGCTCTGCGACTGACCCACCTGGTCACCCACTCGGGTTTCCGGTTGCACCGATCCCGTGGCCTGTATCAGCTGCTGTTGCACCTCGTTGGGCGCCACTCCAGAGCCATGTCCTGCATCCAGGACCTGGTTTCCCGAGCCGGTGGTCACGGACGAATAGGGAAAGGGATTGCCGAAGAACAGTTTCTGGGCAGGCTGCTGAGGTGGCAAATAAGTAGCTGGAGGTTGGGCAGCCGGCTGCTGTTGAGGGTAGTAATTGGGGGCCTGAGTTTGCTGGGGCTGAAGTTGCGATTGCTGAGGTTGCTGGGGCGGCACATAGTAGTTTGGAGGCGGGGCAGGAGCAGCGGGAACTGGAGCCTGGTAGTTAGTTCTGGCCAGCAGGGGATTCTGGTAGATGGAGGTGTGCAGCTGTTGCTGCGGCTGATAGGCATACTGCTGCTGCTGTTGATACTGCGGCACCTGTCGCTGCTCCAAAACCTGGACAATCTGCGTCTGATGATCCTCATAGACAGCCGGAGCCCTCTGCGTTTCCAAACCGTAAGTGCGACCCAAGGTCTGCACCACAAACCTGGTGGTCTGGGGCTGCGGCCGTGCGGTTTCCGCAAAGAAGGGAGTGTGTGGTCGCTGGTAATGGTAGTCCTGACAGCTAACCAAAGCCACCTAAGAGTTAAATAAGATATCCAATTTATAGGTTAATCCTTTCAAAAGTCCATGGGTAAACCCACCATCGAGATAAACAGCCAGAGGGAGGGCATCTTCTTTACTATTGGACACTCGTGCGTTGTGGACTCTTCGCCGGCTGGCAGCTAAATGAACTCCGGCGGGGCAGACACCCGCAAAGCCAACCCGCCAGAAGATCACTCCAGAAACGGGTTTTGGGCCAACTCAAGATGCTGATGCTGATGCGATGTTGCCACTGCCGCCGTCGCTTCTGCCGACTGGCTTTGATTTCTTGTAACAGTTTGAACACATTTCGTAATTCCATTTCCATTTATTGTCTCTGCATCGTTCATTCGTTTATTTCTTTATTTGTTTACCAAAACCCCGCTCCGACACTCGACAGATCGTTCGCTGCTTGCGGCATCATTTCACTATCACTCACGCAAATTTTGTCATAATTAAAGTGCCAGCTCTGCTGCTCTTCACTCTCTGTCTGCATTTCTCCACGCACTTGGAAAAATAATTACAAACTGATCTGGATTATTACAACCTAATTTTAAGAATTCCTCTGAAAATATACAATAAAACTTTATATAATGGATGTTTTTCATGACCTTGATTAACAAACTTAATTTACAAATTTGTTTACAAATCTGTATTTATATAAGGAACTTTACGGAATACTACTTTTTTTAACAATCATTGTTTTTTATATAAATTATAAGTTAAGGTTAACAAATTTACTTTTCTCGAAGACTTTGAATCATTTAGAAAAAGTATACTCTCATCTATGTAACTTTTTGATGCAACACAGTGTAATTTTAATCATTTATAACTTAATAAAAAACCTAGGCAAAAAACCATATTTTTTTGTAGTGTTGAGGACCGTGAAAATGTGCTCAACCTTTCCGCTTTTAGCCACTTCAGTTCGGTGCGCTTCGGCCAAGTTAAATGTAATTTAATTTGCTTCGCATCATTTGGCCGGGCTTTCTGCAAAGCGAGTTATGTTTTCAAGCTCGGCGAAAAGTAAAAGTTGGATCTTGGCTCAAATATGCTGTCATACATATATATGTAAACATGTTTCTATTCAAAGCTATCTGCCGATATAGAGTTTGCAAATGACTTGCCCATCTGGGGGTAAACTATAAAAATCACATAAACTCTGTTTAATTTGTTTTTGAAGGTGTGGTAAATCGAAGTCTTGAAGTAATTTTGTTTGCCCATAATGTGCCTATAAGTGTTGATCTCCTTATGAACACCGTATATATAGAACTTGATTGTGTATTATGTGGGAGATATAATGGGACTTTGATTGCTGGTAATATATATTCATTAAAGGAGAAGAGAAACTGCGTTTTTGATCGGCTGTGTTGTAATATAACACCGAGCAGATGTTTCCTTAGTCGTTTCGCACATAATTAGGCTAACCAGATGTATTCATAAATAAGCAATGAACCAGTTGATTGGCCGGCTTCGATGTTGCAACACCCATTCGACCGGATTAAGCGATTGACACGCACCAGAAATGTTTCAGCTCTTGAGCCATTAAAGGAAGCCAGATTTTGATATTTGCATTGTGCTGACATGGTCTTTGTTTCTACGTTTCCGTTTGACAATTGCACGCAGTCAGCCTTCGCCGTTCGCCTGCAGCACACTTCCTTGGCAATTGCCCTCGTCCTGCGTCCTGCGTTCTGCGTCCTTCGTTCTTTGCCATAGTTCCAAACGCGGGCTAACGTCAATCAAAGACGCGCCCTGTTAAATGCACTTGACTGCCACTTGACACAGCAAATGTTGCTGGCATTGCTCCGGCGTCAAACAAAACATCTTGGCAAGCCAACTGCCAACACTTGACATTCGCCATGAATGCAGCGGAGATCAGCGGAAGGAGGAGATCCTGCGGGGGCGGTACACTTAAATAATTTTCTAGCCCTTATAACTAAGATTTCAAAATATTGTCGAAAGGAATTTCATTAAATCTCTTTGTGAAAAAAAATAGTTATTATATTTATTCACAGATCATGTATGAGACTTCTAATATTTCAAAACAGTGATTTTCAAAACTCTTATCATAACCAAAGGTTTCTTCGCTTTAAAAGCTTCAATATACCATGCGTAAAATACAAATAAGATATAAGAGAATATATTTAAGGCTCTTAAACTAAGAATTAAATTTCTCAAATAAATCTAAAATATATTAAAATTTAAACTTCGCTTTAAAAGCTACTAAAGTTGATGTCTCAATAAAACAAGCTTTTTTATTTCCAGTGTAAACACGCACAAAACGCGGGCAGCTGTCACAGATGGAGATGCAGATGCCGAGATGCGGTGGCTTATCACGCTGACACGAAAGCAGGAGGCGCTTCATAATGCAAGTGGCCAATGCTGCGTATACGCAATCTGCTGCAGTCAAGCCTTTTAAAAGGGGGAGTTTGAGTGGGTGGATAGGCGGTGGGTGGTGGGTGGTGGGCTGGGTACTTTAGTGGCCTCTCCATTTAGAGTGTGGGTGCGTCTGTGAGTTGTCTGTCTTCGCTGCCTGTTTGCATTCATTGCAGTCATGCATTCAGGGTTATGAGCCCCAGCAGAAGTTGCATGCAACCTCCGTGGAGATAGAGCACGTGCACTTTATCCGCCAGCTTGTGTGCGTGTTCTTTCAGTTTATTTTTCGCCATACAAAGCGTCACTTTAGACACCTGCCGCTGTGTGTGTGTGTTTGCTAGCCGCTTTGTTGCCGACTTTTGGGCTTTAGTTGCAAGCAGGGGATCTGCTTAATTAGGCGCACCTGCGAGGGCAGCGTTAAATTAGTAGCAGCCAAGTTGAATGACCTTTGGCAGCTCAGTGAACCAAAAAAAAAAAAATAAAGAAAAGCTAAACGAAAAAAAGGAAAAAACAAGCAAACAATGCAACAGCGTTGGAAAACTCACAAAAAACGAAGAAAAATCAATTGCATAATGGCGCATGTGTTGCGCAGAACAGCAGCAGCAGCAGTACAAATTTGCAACTCTTTTTCCATTTGCACGTTGCAAGACAAAAACAAGAGGAAAAAAATATAAATTCAACCACCACTTCAAGCGGCGATTTCTGCCATATTTTCTTTTTTCTTGTTTTTTTGTTAACTGTCGCAGACACACACACATTGAAAGGCGGGCGTAGACATGTGTGTTTGGCAGCTTTTGTTTGCACCCGCATAGGAAGCCATTTAAGTGCGGCTTCTTGAGAAAATTGCAGCCAGAGCGGATAGAGAAAGAGACAGCGAGATGGCGATGGAGAGATTCAGGCCCTTCGAGGACGTCACTAACGAGCAGCCACCTGCACCGCCCACACCACCCACAGGCCACCCCAGCCAGCCCAACCACCCACTCCACCCATAATTAACAGGAGCCAGAGCAACAGACACGGCAGCGAGAGCTTAGCTCCCTTGTGGGGCCTATCATTTCCTAGGGAGACAGAAAAAAAAAACATAAACCCAAAGGGTTTTGAAGGGGGGGAAGGGGGTTCTGTGGAAACCCGGTCGGTGCAAAAGCCTTTGGCTTGTTGGTCGACTCAAGCGCCTTAATAGGCTTAGCAGCGAGTCAACTATCAAAACAAGGCCGATAAAAGTTGAGCCCCAGCTCGAAGCTCATGCTAGTCGGTCCAGCATAATGCCTGCCTGATATATGAGTATATATATATTCCCATTCCCATGTGCAAGGGAAGAAGGAAAAACTTTGCCTATATGATATGCTCTCATGCTCCAGATGACGAGGCTCGAATGCTTTGTCAACGCATGCCACATGGAATATTCATCGGAGGGTTTTTGGGCTAAGGCGCGGACGAGGGGGCGTGCCACAGTTTATGGCACGTTTGTGCCGCAGCTCTCATTATGTGTGTGTGTGTGTGGCAGCCACCGCAAGTACGTGCCCCGGACAGCCCTCTGCCCCGGAATCAGTCTGATTCGGATTCGCAGGCCGACCCCAGTCTTATCGCCACCCCAACTCCTTCAAGTCTTTGTTTTCTAATTTTCCTTTGATTACATTTTTTTGTATTTTACAGGAAGACTTTGGTCCTTGTTATAGTATCCGGCATAGATTAAACATTTTTAAAACGCTTCGTTTTGAAAATGGGTATGATAATGTGTACAGAGAAGAGTAATTTTTTAGTAAAGTCACAATTGTTTTCAAACTATTAACTTATACAACCTAGATTTTCTTTTGTCCTTCTAAAATGTAGTAGAATTTTCAATTTTTTATTTTATTATCTATTTGTTGTTATTTTAGTTTTATTAACAAATACATAGTTTTCAAAAGCTATTTTTTTCAATATTTGTATTTCAATCTATTTTCAATTTTCCTAAAATGAGCAATTATTTCCATTCCCCAAAAGGCTGTAAGTTCTTGCAATTAATCCGATTAGTCTGCATTGCAATCTATAGATTTGCATTATTAACACTCCAATCTGGCGTAATTCCCTGATTAAGCTGCTGGGCAGTGCTGGTCCGGAGTCTAGGCCCACCCACCAAGGTCGGCAGGTGTGGCGCCACCCGTTCCTGCCATTTGGCTGCATCAGCAAACTGTCGCCCGCTCCACGAGAAAGTTCCAGCGAAGCTGCCACAGCGAAATGTTGCTGATGACAGCAGCAATATCATCCTGCAATGGCAACAGCAACATCAGCAGCAACAGCAGCAGCAACTGCCGCTTCCCAGATTTGTTTGCAGTCATTCGCATGTGTCATCATCAGCGGCCGAGATGATGAAGCACAAAATTTGCCCAGGCTCGCTGGCAACTAAACTGACTGACTGCTAGTCTCGCTACAGAAAAAAGAAATTAAAATAAAAAAAAAAATTACACAAGCACACAGGCAAACAGACAAATGAGGACGCCAGCGGTGACATGATAGCCTGTGAAAGTCTGCCGACTGTCCTGGCACACTCAGAAAAATATGTGGCTCTTGTGGGTATAACTTTACTAAGCATTTGTATAGTTTAAGGTACTCCCAAAGGATTTTTTTTTAACTCTCTAAAGTTACTTCCTAAAATAGTGTATTAATTTGTGTCTAACAATATTTTTTAAAAGTAAAACAAACTAATCTAAAACTTATCTCGGGAATATTTAAAAACTTGTTGTTTACCTGTTAGGTGAGAAAATATAAAAAGTGTATCAATGTGTATTT